GCGGAGATGATGCCCTCAGGGCAGGTCAGCCTGAACCCGACGCACCCCTGAGATGACCGGCACCGGCCGAAAGTCCGGCGCCGCCCCGCGCCGGCCGCAGGGCACACCGAGGATGGTGAGGGAGGGAGGGAGAGAGAGAGAGAGAGAGAGAGAGAGAGAGAGAGAGAGAGAGAGAGAGAGAGAGAGAGAGAGAGAGAGAGAGAGAGAGAGGAGGGGAGGACTGGAGATCACTGGTACAGAGAGACGGGATTCACACAGCGATGTGCAAGTAAGTACGGCGAACCGCTAATGTGCCACCAGTCGCGACCACTCTGTTATTTCCGTAATTGAGCGCTGATGAGACGGTTCTTTGCAGTCGTCCATCACAGAAGATGAGGTGGTTCTTTGTAGCTATCATACACATGCCGAGCAGCGGCGTATTTAGAAAATCGCGAAGGGGGGGGCCAAGGGTTTGGAGGGCGCCACCTCACCCAAGGAGGGCGCCATACGGTCGCGAGATAAAAAATCGCTCAGTGGGGGTTGGGGGGTTGGGAGGCGTTTTTTACCATGCCACCAGTTTTTTTTTTTGCGTAACCTCGTATAGGTCGTGCTGCATTGATTTTGCATCGTGTGTATTCTTTATACTCCAGGTCACAAAAGGTCAAGTGTTCTTGAAATGCTGCGCCGAAGGCGCGCGAAATTTTTGAAAACAACCTTTTCCTCCGCTTTTTAGGCACGCCTTTTATACGATCACTGTTCAAAGCTCCTCTCGCTCTTTTACCAAATTTGAAGGTGTAAAAAATACCTAAGGTTTGGTCGGGCCGCTGCCACACAAACTGTACAGAAAGCTTGGCTCATGGGTGTCGATGTATAAAAGTTTATTGGCGGTGGCATATCTACGCACCAGATCACTGTATCGGATTGATACCGGAGCGCGAGATGCGTAAACATCATCCAAATTACCTCAGACCAGCCTTCATAGCCTTCTCACAGATGCATACAGTGTACCCACATAACCAGTTTCAATCACCGAAACTTAAGATGCCTGCTGTTGCGCCCGAACCTGTTGACAATACTTAATCGTAATCCATATAGATGCCATGATGCACGTAAAGTAGGATCAATCCGTTAAGACCAAAGACGTGTTTTATGCATCGTAGAGCGTAGATAGTTTTGGTAGGTATAGATACTTCATTCATTGTGCTGAATGCACGTTCATTTGTGGCAGTTTTCACAGGCAAGACATCAACTATGTGCAATAGAACGACTAAGTTGAAAAACATGCCAAAGGAGTAAATAAATGATAGGAGGGCAGCGATCAACGGATGTTGCCAATAGGTAGAAGGGCTGCGATCCACAGGAGGGCACTAATAGGTAGAAGAGCCCCGATCAACATCCCGAGTTTCGACAGTAGGGCACCGATAGGTAGGAAGTTGGCGAGCAGCAGGAGGGCGCCAATGGATAGAAGGGCAGCGATCAACAGGAGGGCACCAATAGGTAGGAGGGCGCCGATCAACAATCAACAGGAGGGCGCCACCAGGTAAGAGGGTGGCGAGGAACAGGAGAGCACCAATAGGAGGGTGGCGATCAACAAGAGGTCGCCAATAGGTGGGAGGGCGGTCATCAACTGGAAGTCGCCAATGAGCGGAAGGGTGACGATTAAAATGGGGGTGGCAATGGTGAGGAGGGCGCCTTTGCTCAAGAGGATGACACGAACAGGAGGGCGTCTGTGCGGAGGGCGCTGGTCAACAGGAAGGTGCCAGTGGATAGGAGGGCGGTGATCAACAGGAGGGTGCCAGTGGTTAGGAGGGCGGCGATCTACACGAGGGCGCCAATGGGAGAAGGGCCCCGATTAACATTCAACAGGAAGGACTAGGGAACCAATAGGTAGGAGGGCGGCACTGAACAAGAGGGTGCCAAAAGGGAGAAAGGCGGCCTTCAAAATTTCACATGAGGGCTCAATAGGTAGGAGAGCGCCAATAATTATGAGGACGCCGATCAGCAGAAGGGCGGCAATGTGTAGCAGGGTGGCGACCTACAGGAGGGCGCCTTCGGGTGAGAGGGCGCTTATTTACAGGACAGCGGATTACATAGGCGACCACCGTTACGCTTAGAGAGCTACAGCCTACAAATGTGGTTGGAGGGCGCCCGAGGGAGCCCTCCAACCGTATTTGGAGGGCGTATTTGGAATGGGCGTCCTCCGAGGGCGCCCTCCATCCGTATTTTCCCTGTAAACACATTCGCGATTGGAGGGCGCCCTCCAGTCGCGATTGTTTTTCGATTCGATTATATCACAATTGCATTTGCGATTGGAGGGCGCCTTCGGCGCCCTCCAATCGCAAAGGGCGCCTTCGGCGCCCAAGGGGGGGGCCATGGCCCAGTGGCCCCCCCCCTGCCTACGCCCCTGATGCCGAGAATGGGCAGTCATGAGGCGAGCCGGCCACCTGTCGCACCTGTGAGGATGGTGCTTTGGTCGCCGCAGCGGTCTCTCGCTAGTGTTTTGTTCCCAGACGCAGTCTCCACTGGTTTGACGCTAGCGGTGGCTTCTGCCGTGTGAATTGGACGGGAAGCGAGCAGTCTGCCGCCGCGCCCGCATTCCTATGCCAACATTTTCCTTGGTAGTCGCCCCTATATGCCGGCTTGCTCAAAAGAGGACCGTTAGCTCTCGTCGTCAACCATTGAGCAGTCACTGATTCGGTGGTATTTTGAAGCAGGCGGTCCGGGTCCGTCGCGTCATGAAGCTGTTTGGTGATTGTGGCTCGGGCAGCGGTCTCTGAGTTAATGACGCCGCGCGGACAGTCATCTGGGAACAGGCGTGACCGCCAATTTACAGCCTATTGACGCTTCGTATGTGTCAGATGCGGTATGTGTGCCACAGGGGACGGCAACAGCGAACCATCCAGCAGCCCAGCGTGGGCAAACATCATCACCGCAGCACACTATACCATTGGAACTTGTAAATCGTAAAAAACTGAGTTGGAAGCTCTACCTGAGTGCTCCATATACAATAAAAAACATTTTGATTAAGTTGAAACGGCGGTGTCAGCCCTACTCTCATCTGGTCGAGATGGAGCGGCCGCAGCAGTTGCAGCTTCTAGACCCGCTATACCGCACCTGTCGCGAGGGTGGTCGGCAGCTAACGAAATTGGCCAGCAGTCAACGAGGTCGTTTCCCAGTGGACCGGCCATAAAAGCGAGTCGTACCCTCTGGAACACCGGTCACGGACTCCCCATGGCCCTTTTTGGCAGTCATTAGACGCAAAAATGTGTGCGGCTGAGACAACGACTAATTATGTCTCACCTTGGCATGTCCAGCACGAGACACGCAACGCGAAACAAGCTTATAATACCGGGAACTGCTGATTGGTGGAAATATAACGCCGCGTGCGAGGGATTGTCGTAAACGTTAATTGAATCAGAAATGTCATGTATAGTTGAACACTTCAGTAACAAGTGTAACTACTGAACTTTTCCTCTAAATCAGTGCGATTGTTGATGACAAATGTAGAGACATGGTCTGTACGATGCACAGTGTGGCCGAACACCAGTTTAGCGCGAATTTAATCCCAGCGCCGCTCGGATCCACTGAAAATGGTTCTCTGGTTCCAAAACTGACACTTACCTTTCGCCGGACTTATTGGTTTTCAAAATACGCGCCGGTCGAAGGGGGGGGGGGGGGGGTACGACCCCCGTCGCTGTTTCGCCCCTGATGGAGCTAGAGCCCCGCGGAAAAAAAAAACGAGCGTGTACGCCGTTACGAGACGCAGCGACTGGTATCCGATTTTAAGGTCTCAGGCCAACCTGTGACCTCTGAGGTCAGGTCAAGTGACCCAGGCGCGGATTCGTTTTTTATTAATAACTTCGCGAAAAAATGCCGCAGAGCCGCAATTTTGGTATCATCATGTTCGCCTCACTCAGGCGCGTCGAATGGTATACTTTTTGTTCGGCTGAAGTTAACTTAAGGTGTTGACCTTGGGTCAAGGTCAGGTCAGAATCCTCCAGATCACGAAGTTGGTTGAAGGAGGTCATGTCGCGTATCATTCGATTCGGCAAGTCTTCCTGAGTCCATTGGTGGCTTTCTCGACTCGCTAGCTCAATTTAATCGGGAGTTATTGACGAAAAACTCTTATTACCCTAGTGACGTCATAAATGACGTCACGTAAGACCAACAATGCATAAGTGAAGCATCGGACCTTGCAAGGAGTGCATGAAATCACGATTTCGTGTGCTTGAGATAGTTTATTAGGCTGGAGCCTATCCGGCCGCGCCGCCCCCGACCTTGGTCAGGTCACATAGGGCGGCCGACTAGACATGTTCAAAGCTGAGTTGACGGCAAATAGGCAAAAACTGGCAGCTGAAACTTGCTCGCTTATGTTCAGAAAGGTGCGATGAGTTCAGCCATGCCCTATTCGTCATATCCATTTTTATCCATTTTGACATTTTTCAACTTCTTTATTAAATACTATCGTGAGAACGATGCACATGCAGGGCTCTTGTTGTAACTCATTAAACTCAAAAACCATGCATTGAAAAGCTACAATGATAGCAGAAACAGCTTCATCATGAATTGTGCTATCCAGTGATATGCTATTTTCTCATATATCTTCTCGAAACTTCCGTAAAATTTACGTTGAAAACTGGACATATTTATCAGTACCATAGCCCGATTTTAGGAACCGGAGCGTGGGTCTACTTTCGGCAGGGATATAAGTCCTCAAATGGTAAAGTGGCTTAAAAATAAGGTTCTATCCGATAACTTCAGACAATTTCCTACCCACTGATAGGTATAAATAACAGTTTATCGAAAGTCGGGTTTTTGATTAAATTCGCGCTAATCTGGTATTCGGCAAGACCGTGCGATGGTCTGCGAGCGGAGGAGATAGGCAGATGTATAATGTATATGATAACTATGTAGGCAATCTAATAGGTACAAATGCCCTTGTCCAGTACCTACTTCAAGTTACGGTCACATGGTGTTACATGGTGGCTGTTATTTGAGAAAATTGCACAGCTCTAACTTACCTGTATCTCCTGTATGAGCTCCTGATCGTCCAGTAGGATTATTTTGCAGTGATAGGTGTTATTTTTGGCTCCGAAACACTTCATGGCTGGGCCCGAAGCCGCCGAGGCTTGGGCAGCTCAGCTCCGGCTGGCTCACGAGCTGGTCACTGCTCTGTCGTGGAGCTGTGTGAGCTGCGGAGCTCAGCGGCTCTGTCGGGTGAGGGGCGATCACAGTCCCCTTCAGACCATTCGTGCTATGACGGGCACCTGAGGAAGGCAGAAACAGATACTGGTTACAGTGGAAAATAAAAACACCAGCCCATCGTATATTTCAGCAACCGAAACACTTTCGAAAAACGCCTACAAAGGCTGGTAGGTCAGTAACACGAAATGAGCCCGGTTGTTGACTGTGTTGTCAGCATCAAAGCTATTCAACAGGGAGCATCTCGTATGTGCAGCGATGGCAGGCTACCAGTGACTGCTTTCACTAGTCAGATAATGTAACTTTGAAGTCAGCAATCATCAACAATATGAAGTGTCAAGTCTGTGGCATCAAGCCTTCATTCAGACGTCACATCGGGCAGTCTTCTGTCATCAGCGATATACTCAGACACGAATCACCACACCTGTCAGCCAGCTGCCTGTCAGCTGCCTGCCCCAGTTCAGCTCACGCTGTCGCCTGTCATGCCGTCGCTGTTCTACAGATCTATATCGACTGGGACGTGCATCCGGGATTATAAAAGCAGTGTTCGGCTCCGATCTATCGATCATGTAGCTCACCGTTACTTAGCTCTCTGAACCTCCAAGCGTGATTTTTTTAGCATAGCGTTCTGTTTGAGAGAACATGGTGGAAAGTTTTGAAAGGTTATCAGTCGTTGGGAAAAGTATAAAAATACTCATAATCCAAGCGTAAAAGTGCAGATAAAACACAACAGATGCAAATTTCAGTGTAGCACGAATTCCTTTCAGACATTCACATTAAATCCGACACAGTGAAAGGCGCGCCCAAACAGCCCCCTGCTGTCTCACCTGGCAGACTAACTTTCGTCGGTGCATGTTATCAACATTTGAAGCAGAGGAACGCTTCGGAATTTTCCCTGGGATGATCCCATGGGGACCTGCTGGAGGACGGAATAAACGGGCACATATCAGCACTATTTGCTCATATTCCGCTGCTCATACGATGCAGCTTTATCGAATTAACGAAAAAAGTATATAATTGGTATCTAGCAACCATCTAATTGGAGCATCCTTAAGTTTGGGGGTTCGCCTCAAAGCTAGCTTGCCGCCAGCACTGCCCGTTCTCTGCCAGTTAACTGCTAGTTCAAGTCCACCGAACTCCAGTCTGCCCGTGGCCAGCCAGTGCAGTGGTCGGCCGAAACAAAGCCGATACGCCGCAGCCTAGCCAGTGTTTATGGTGCGGCCCCTGTTAATATGGTAATGGCCAAAAGGTTGGAGAACCCATTTGAAGGCGGCGGCTCGCTGCGCCGCCTCCGACCAAGCCGGGCCCCACTACCGACCCGAGTTTTTGTCGATCGCTCCGTTCGTTATGTACACCTTGGGGGCTGTCGGCCGGCCGGCCGCCGCGGTCCGGGAACCCTCTGCGCCGCTGTTAGCCGCTGCGGGGTTGTTTTTGTCAGTCTAGTGTCATTGGCGAAAGCAAGAGCGCGAAATTCCGCGTGCTAAACGCCCCGGAACACGAGACAACAATGCGGGACGCGTGCGAGCTCTTGAGAGGGCACTGCTCTGTGTTGAATGAACACTGCCGCTTTGTCTGTCGATGGTGTCGAGTGTGTAAAGAGCTCGACGGTAAGAGTAGTCGGACTGGCTCATGAATTCGTGAGAATGGGACCACACATGTGTCGTAACACAGCGGATTGTGTAAACACGGCGCGCTGATTTCTCATTTCACTCGCTGTTTTTTGCGGCTCCCATCGACGACAGGCAGCTCCGGTGAGACTCGAGCGAGTTTACACAGAGCAGAGTGGAGTCTCTCCCCGCAGACTTCACCAGCCACACAGAGTTCCGGTCAGAGGTCAACGATCCTCCGCTAAGACAAATGTGTCTGCATACACCGCTAGTCCTCGGATGGTCGTTTGGATCGGCGGGGAGGATGGCTGTGGATGAGATCGGGTCGAGACCGTGACCGGGTCAGCGGGTAACGTTTTTAGATCAATGATCAGGTCGTAATCAAACTCAGGAATGGGGCGCGTGTAATGCGAATCAAAGCTTACGGGTTCATAATATTTATACGCGGCGCTGTAATAACACGGAGAGCTTGATAACGGAGAGCTATAATAACACGGAGAGCTTGCTGCTCATCATCAGGATAAAGATATGCCTGGCTGAGGCGAACCATACGGGAGTCGTGAGCATGTCATGAAGATAACTCAGGCCAGACACGGGTCATTCCCATCCCAGGTCAGACACCACTGATCATCGTCGATCAGACAAAGGTCGCGTTGTCTGACCTCCAGGTCGTCAGAGGTCAGCGGCGTCAGGTTCGGCAGAGGTCAGCCGCACCACACTCCGCAGAGGCCAGACCCGACGGCGCACGGCGGCAGCTCTGTGCCCGCTCGGGTCCAGAACCGACCGCGCTCATGCATGACCGGCGGTCGAGCGGCGTGCTCCCGGTATCGGTGGCCGGGGTCCCGGACGGTCACCACACCTGTTCTGGGCCGGCCTTGATGTGTGTGGGAACCGCCCGCCTCCCACAATGCCGACACCGGAAGGCGACTCAGCCGCACGAGGTCCGTCCGGTAGGCAGTATGGGGGCGGTGGAGCGTCAAACCGCCAACCCCGGGTGACGGGGCGGGGCTGAGGAGCCGGTGACGCGGACCAGGGGGCGGGGACGGTGTCACAGGAAACGGACAGCTAAAAAACGGACGGACGGGCGGCCGCGACAAGTGACGCACGGGGGCAGATGGAGGGCGAGGACGAGCCAGTGTCTCAGGGACCACTGGGGCCCGTCTCCGTGGATAAAATAGCTCGGAGGAGCACCACCGACCAGCGCTGTGCGCTATAAAGGATGCTTCCTGCCGGCGGCGGGCCGGGCCGGTAGGATCGCCGATCGCGTGCAGACCGCCCTCCCGGAGCGGCGGCCTGCACGACGGCCACACGACGATACCATCGGCCCGGAATCACACCTGCACCCAATGTGGCACCGGCGCGGCGCCGCCGCCGACACCGATGACGGCCGCGAAAACATAATCCCCGGCTATAGAATGGTCGAGTGTAAAAATGGGGGCGGATACGTGGAAACATTCCGCGTATTTTTCGTGATTCGTGAGAAAATGTATGAATTAGGTGAGGTTTACGGACGGGGAATAAAAACGGTCTACCTTCCTCGCGAGCAGTGTTGACGTCAGCCGAATCGCTGGATGACGTGATTTCGTCCGACTTACTTGACTGTCGCCGAGTCTGGTTGGCGGACCAGCTCCGATGGAATGTGATGGTTCGTGCACTCAAAACCGGCGGCGACGGCGGCAAAGTCAGCGTCGCGCGGTCCAGCACACCCCACCCTCCGCTCGCGGCACCAGCGCACGACTGGAATAGCACGGTACCGCCGCCCGCCGCTCGCCGCCCGCCGCTCCAGTCACGATCAGACGGCGGACTGTCCGGCCCCACAGTAGCGACATCCAGCGGCAGCAGAGTACACTGCAGCTTATGAGCTCTGAGTGCAGGCGACGCGGTAGTCGGTGTGCGGAGACTACAACGGTGGAATGCGTCGGTCAGCATTTGTGAACACCTAGGGTAGACCGGGGCAAGTCGCCCCGCCGAGGTAAAACGCCTCACCGATGTTTCTCGGAGCTGGCAGAGTTCTGGGGAAACATCCTCTCTTCTATAAAACGTGCACTACATGATCATTATATGAGCAGACCAGTGGCGGATCCAGGGGGGGGGGGCTGCGGGGGCTGGCAGCCCCCACCCAAGGAAAACTGGCGCCACTGCGCCGAAGGCGCAGTGGCGCCAATTTTCAATTCGCAACTCATCGGAGTGCCACATACTAGGACTAGGATGCAAAAATCAGTCGAATAACGTCGTTTCAGTACGCTCCGCACCGATATTTCCAATCGTGTGGTGTCACTGTACATACTGATCCTGGGCGCCTCTTGTCAGGGCCACTGGGCGCCAATATTTCAGCGCCAATACGATGCGACTATGGCGCCCATCCGGGGCGTGGCGCCCAATTATGACCTGCAGCCCCTCCCCAGTGAAAATCCTGGATCCGCCACTGGAGCAGACTGGAAAGAAATTGTGATGACTCTTTCGGGAGATATAGCCAAAAATGTGTTTTTTGAGTGATTTTTATGTTTTGTTGTCAGATTATGCATCATAGCGTTCCTTTATGGTCCATATCAGGTTAACGACTTTTATGTATTTTGAACAACTGTTATCTAACGCTTATCATGCCGGGTTGGTTCGTGTTAAATTATGTCTTGCTGGAGTGCAAAGCTTTGTTCTCTGATCGAACTACGTGATGGGGTAAAACGCCCCAGTAGGTCACGGGGCAAAATGCCCCATGGGGCGTTTTACCTCATGTGTTGTTCGGGCTACCCACTTTCTAATGTTCGGTAGCTGGCGAACAGTAAGTTTCTATGCCTTTATGTGTATTTTTCCCAGCAACTGGATGGGAAAGAAAGTATTCTGTAGACATTTGCATTGCAATAATTTATTATTTGGTCTTATGAGGCAGGTGAAAAACCTGCTCATACAATAGTGTCATAGCTGAACACCTGACAGGATGGAAGGTGCTAACTTCAGCGCCGTGCCTCCAGAGGTCTAACAGACCTCTCATATAAGATTTAGCCAACTACCAAGTTAAATCTGTAATCTAAAGTATGGGGCTACTTGCCCCAGGCCGTGGGGCGTTTTGCCCTGGGGTTGGGGCAAAATGCCCCATTTGCAGTTGCTTCACAAATCACTTCCTAGCTTGGAGTCCGATCATAAGTGAATGAATTTGAGGGGTGCACTTTAAAGTAAAATGTCCAAAGAACGCATTGAGCACAAATTTGGCCTTCCAGGTGATGTGGGACAAAATTTATGTAGCAAAATAAATTATCTGGGGCGTCTTGCCCCGGGCTACCCTACATATAGGGCGTCGGCGGTCGTGTCCAGACTCATTCCAAATTGTAAATGCTGGCGAAAGCTCAGCTTCGGTTTGGTGGCCTGAGAGTACGAAAATCGTTTGAATTTATTTATTTGTTTATTTATTTATTTATTTAGGTATTTATTATTTATTTATTTAACGTCAGTCGTCAATTAATCTTTCCACCCATGTGTGGCTGTTCCAGAGCCAGGGTCACCAGTTAACCCTATTCCGGGCGGGCTCTGAAAGGTTCGGAATCCTTTTCGACCCCCCCCCCTAGACCTCGAAAATCACGAATCGGAGCGACAAACGGTAAACGGCGTTTGATAGTTTGTTGAAAGCCCTACAACTTTTATAAATATCTTTTTAGGGTAAGGTCAATATTGAGGTCACTAGAGGTCATCAAAGATAGTGTTCGAAACAGGTACTTATTGTATTGTATTTGCCATCGTAGAGCGGTCCACTCAAAGTGTGGCTATTAAGCTCCGAGTCAAACATGGTCGCTGTCATGGATAAAAAAAACACACACACACACACACACACACACACACACACACACACACACACACACCTACACACCTACACACACACACACACACACACACACACGCACTCATACACGGTACACAGGGCTACCCCTGTGCTGTGGCGGCCACGGCTGTCGGAACGGTCACGTTCGGTGGAGATCCAGCAGGCGTCTCTTCACGGTACGTGAAAAACGCTGCTGGCTAAGCGGTGTCAGGTCACTCGACAGCCGGTTGTAGAGGGCAGGTGCCCTCGAGCAAAAGCGTCTCTTGCCGGTCTCGGTGTTGGACCTCGGCACGTAGAGCTGCCCGTCCTGCCTCGTGCGCCGGGACCGCCGGTCACCGTTGCACACGAATGCAGCCGCCAGTGACTCGGGCTCACCACCAGCAATCACCTTGTGCGCCAGACACAGTGTACGGTGGTCGGCCATGTGCTGAGCGGGCAGCCAGCCAAGTTTCCCGCGCAGGTCACTAACATGATCAAATTTTCTCTTTCCAAAAATGAATCGTGCAGCAAAGTTCAGTACCTTTTGAATTCTGTCAATGTTTTTCTTAGTGCCGTTGCCGTAGACGGAAAGGCAGTATGTGACCTGCGAGAGAACCAAGGCGGCTACAAGTGTCTTGATGACACCGACAGGCAGGACGTGACGGACATGTGACAGCGCGACAAGAGTACCGCTGCATCGCCTGCCGACGACACCCACGTGACTGTCCCATGATAATTTCTGGTCGAAAATAACGCCAAGATTTTTTACCTCGCGGCAAGGTACGAGGTCAGTGTTGCGGAAGGCAATTTTGATGTCTGGAAGGCCGCGCAAATTTTGACCTGTTCCGAGAGTGATGAGCTGTGTTTTGTTTGCGTTTACTTTAAGGGCGTTTGCGCAGAACCACTGATCCAAAGCAGTCAATGAGTTTTCCATGCTATGAATAACAGCCGAAAGTTCGTTCTTTTTGCCAGAGACAATCACCTGGGTGTCATCAGCGTACTGCACGACACCTGCACCCGCAGCGAACAGTGACATGTCATTTGCAAACACGGTAAACAAGAGGGGGCCCAGGGCAGACCCCTGGAAAACCCCCATCGAGTTCGGCATCGGCGGGGAGACGCTGGCAGCTCCAGTGTGGTCTCTGAGTGACACACTCTGGGTATGGCCTGTCAGGTAAGCTTTAAACCACTGAACATCCACACCGTGCAGCTCGAGTTTCCGAAGTAAAATGTCATGGTCGATAATATCAGAACACTTGCTCAGGTCAATAAGACATAAGAGGGTGATCTCCCCGCCGTCGGCAGCTGTGAGGATTTGGTCGGTTACGGTAGCCAGCGCGGTTTCCGTCGAATGGCGCGGACGGAAACCGTGCTGGCTGGGGGATAGGAGGTGGTTGGAGGATAGGTAATGGTAAAGCTGCCGCTGGACAACGCGCTCTACTAGTTTGGCGATGGTGGGGATGATGGAAATAGGACGGAAGTTGGAAGGATCGGATGGGTCGCCGGTCTTGAAGATGGGGTGAATGAGCGAATGTTTCCAGGTTGGAGGGTAGTCGGATTGGGTGAGACATGCGTTAATGATATGTAGGATGACATAGCCGACGGCGGGGAAGCCAGCCTTCAGAGCACGAGCACACAAACCATCAGATCCGCACGCAGGCGAGTTCCTCATGCTGTACAGCGCGATCGTCAGCGTGTCGAGGTCGATGGGAGAGACTGAGAAGCCGCAGGCCCCCACACGCGGCAGGCGGCAGGGCAGGTCTGCCGCGTGCTCGGCCGCACCGGCCACCCCCGCCGCCACCCTCGGCCCGACAGACACGAAATACTCATTCAGCGCGCTCGGTGATAGCTGTGGTGAGGTGACATCTCGCTTCCGGCCAGCAACAACACTCCGAATGTTGCGCCACACGGTGTGGGGTCCCTGCTCCCTGATACGGGACTCTATGGCCAGGCGCGTGTCGCGGCGGATGGCGGACCGGACAGATCGGTTCAGATCGCGGTATTCGCTCGAGTCACGGCCGAGGGTGCGCAGAGCGCCGCGGCGGCTCGCCATCAAGTCCTTAGTGGCGGCCGTGACCGGCGGGGCAGATGGGTTGTGAACCTTGCGGCTCCGTATCGGCGCGTGCTTGTCCAGAACAGGTATGTAGAGTGATAAAAAAGCTCGCCACTTCCCATCGACCGTCTCGGATGTAAAAAACGTCACTCCAGTCACAGCACTGTAAATCGAGCAGAAACGCACCCGAGTCTATCCTAGCGAGTGGGCGTGACCGCGACACTACAGTGTGCGATCGTGGACGGCGCGGCACACTGAGACTACAACTAACGATGCGATGTGGGCTAAAATCACAATGTTTATTGCGGCGCGGCGTTGCTACGTTAAGACGATTGACAATGAGAACATCTAAGAGCGATCTATCAAGGTCATCATACTTGATGATGACCTTGATAGTTCAACTTCAAAATTTGACCTAGGAAGGTCATAACATGATCCAAGAAGGCCACGCTTGATACCTACCAATCAACGCGTCATGACCAGGCAAACAGTTTGGTACCATTTACAAGTCTCAAGCACCATCATATCGTGATTTACTCAGCTAAATTAAAACTAATGATGACCTCACATGACCTCAGATGACCCTTCCCGGTGCCCCTGCAGTAAATGGCACCTGGGTCATTACAGATCAGAGAATCTGTCATAATCCTGGAAGAACTGGGTGGTTTTGACTCGTTTACTCGAAGCAGGACACTTTTCAATATTTCCCCATGGGCTTGTAATGTGAAGATCGCGACTCTGACCTGACCTCAGGTCACAGATATAAGAATTCTGAGGTATACAAATTACACACACTGGTAGGTACTGTAATGAAGACCTGTAGAGAGGGAACCGCTCCGTGAAAAACTCTAACTCTTACGTGATTGCAACTTTTTCTGAGGTGGGGTCAACAAACCGGCTCTGGTGACCGGGCCTGACCTGATCAGGATTTTT